TGTGTCCCCTTCCGAATCCCAGAAAGAAATAATTTAAGCATGTATGCCTGTCTGTCCTGACCAGAGTGGGTCTAGGTCTGAACACAGGGAAAGTGTAGTCATTCTAGGGTCATCATATCACCTCTCTCCACAGAGAACCTGTTGAAGGGAGAAGAGTCTCCAGGCCCACAAGGAGTCGAAAAAAGACACTGGCAAAATAAGGGACCATGGCAATCTGGATTCATTTTGTGATCCCACACACCAGCATCATTTTGCAACCAGAAGTGCCCTTGGGAGATCCCACCTCTTCCAGGAAGCCTTCCAGAGTAATTCAGAGAAGAGCTAAAAGCTCAGCTTTTTCTTGTCCATCTGGAACACTTAAGAGATCCCTGCCCTCATCCCTTTTATGGTTACCACACACAGAGGCAGTCAGTAAATATTTGATGAGTGAGTGAGTGAATGAATGAATGAATGAATTCCTAAGAAATGTATTGATCACTTATTCTGTGCCAGGCATATCTTCGGAAATACCAGCTGAAATCAAACATGGACCTTGGCCTCACAGAGCTTACAATGGAATGAATGATACAGCTACATCATGACTGCCTCCTTGCTCATCCACGGCTTCACTCTGCCTGGATAAGCCCCAAGTTGCTGTCTGTATGCATCTGTCTGCCAAGCACATTTGTAAAGTACCCACCGTGTGCCCAGAATCGAGAAACCCAGAAATCAAGCCTTGGTCCTGCACTTACGGATTTCACAAACTATTGGAGGCAGTGGAATGGCTGGGAGGGGGAAGGAGTGAACAGAAAACCACGTGAATTTACATCAGTGCGGTAAAGATCTCTAACTCTGAGAAGCAATGCAGCTTGTGGAAAGAATCCTGGCTTCCAAGTTCAGCCTGGCCACTTGCTTGTAACCTGACACAAAACAATGCATCTCACCTCATGGTCAAATCACATGAGATGATTGTAGGTGAAAGCACTCTGTAAGCTGTAAAGAACATTCAAAGGTTAATAAAGAAATTATTTTCCTTTTCTTTTTCTGTATTCCCCATTCAGTCTTGTCTGCCACAGTCAGACAGACAGAAGGGGCAAGGACACTTTCTTCTTGCATCTGTTATGGAAATTAAAGGAATTTTCTTGATGACAAAGCCATGTCTGTCCATAGCAATATTGTTGGACAGGTTTATTTGGATAAAACTAGTATTTCTCCCATCACTTTTGCATCAGCTTCTTTGCATAGTGGCCTAATTTCTTTCTACTAAGGAACGCTATCCTCCACAGTATCTCCTCCGCCCTGTGTTCTGGAGCCTGGACCCTCAGCGAGAGCCTGAGCAGAGGGCCCCACAGCCCTGAGGAGCTGCCAGAAGCAGGTTCCAAGCTGTTAGCCCAAGGACTCAGCTCCCCGTGGAGGGAACAGCTTGTTCCTGGAGTTCTACCAGCACCAAACCCTAGCCAGGAGCGGGGAATGGGCTGTGGACCCCCCACGTTTGAGCACAGGGCTCGGGGGAATGCTGCATTTGTTCCTGACTGGAATGCAATACACGCAGCTGTGCCTGTGGAAAAAATGGAGCCACACGTTACCCTGACGAGCCCAGGGGAGGCCTGCCAGGCAGCCTTGCAAACGCAGAGACCTACAGTAACCACAGAGGGTGGTCTAAAATGAAAATGTGTTAACGAAAAGCATTTCGTGTCCTCGGCCAGCATTTTCCCTTAACAAGGTCAGTCTTCACCTTAACTGAGCCTGACGTTTTGCATCTATGATAACACGCCTTTGGCAGGTCAGGTAACTTCCCTTTTCCCCAAACCCCTAGGGCACAAACTGAGACCACAAATCCCCTGTCTGTTATTTGCTATCATGTTAATTGTTGACGGCTAACTACCCTGTACCCACCTCTATAAAAGCAGTATGTGTCTGTCATTTTACCTTTCATCCAATTGCCCCGGTTTCCCGTTTTTTGTTTTCTCCAGCCCCCTGATCTGTCACCAGTAACTTCCTTAACCCCGCCCCCCCTCCGTGGCTCCGCCTCTGATCCTAATGTGTAAAGAAGGTGCTAAACTGCCATTCTCCGGAGTATTTCTCAGTCCCCTGAGATTCTGCTTCCTGGCAGTCGTTAGCAGCGGGGCTCAAATAAACTCATGAATATCCTCTGCAGGTTTGAACGTCCCTTACATGGACGCGCCTGAACGCGCTGTGTGCGGCCTCTGCTGGCTTCTGAACGTCCTTCTCCGTAACGCCAAAGCTCTCGGACATTTTTAGAAACTTGAAAAGTTATTTTCTTAATTTCCCCTTGACTATGGTAAAGTCATGATTTTTAGTCAATATTTTCACTTTTAGATTAGCACCTTATTAAATCTAATATGCTAGTTAAATACAATATGCAATAATATTCACAAAAAAACTGCTAAGTTTTTTATTTTAACAGGTATGAGATTAATTTAAAATAACCATCTGCAAACTATTTGTTGATGAATGAATTTTGAAATAACGTTGTGTTCTGTCAGGGAGCCCTGTGAACATTAAGACAGACTGGAAATTCACTGCGTGTTGCGTGGTGGCTTCAAAGAAAGACAAACGTGTTTCATGACCTACTCTGAGAACTCTTGAGATTTCCCCTGAGCTTTTTGGATAAATTTTAGCATTTTGTTTCTAAGTGGCAAGAAAGGAGAAGGTTTTAGGTGGCTGTCTGAGAAAATAAAACACATGAAGGTGGAGAGAATTCTAATCAAATGAAAAGTCCAATTAGATACATGATCACTATTGATTTTGAATGTTCCTTCAAGGTATTAAAGACTCTCAATTTCTGTTGAAAGAATTGTAATCAAATGAACATAACAAGGATCCGGGTAAAGAGTGCCCTTAGTCTAATTTTCAGAATTGTCGTTCGTGCGCAGTCATTAATTTACTGCATATTAGTACCAATGTTTCGTAAACACTCTAAGTTTAAACAGTGCTTCATTGTGGAGTTGACACAATGTGACCAAAACTAAAACAGGCCACAGCTTTCTCGTGAACATGTGGGACTTGATTAGAGCCTCAATCAAGGAAAGAAACTGCAGAAATACTTGTCGGGAACGGCCAGAGGAATTTGAACACGGGCTGGGCGTTAGGGATGCTAAGGAGTCACTGGTAACTGTGTTGGGAGCGGGCGGCGCTGTGGTGACCGCGAAATGTCCTTATTCCCCCGCAGTGCACACTGCAGCTCTTCAGGGGTGCAATGTCGTGGTGTCGGGATTTATTTTCAAATACTTCACAAAATAAAGCAAATATGGACAATGCTAATAACTCTTAAACTCTGGTGATGGGAATACGGGGGCTCCTTACACTTTCCCTCTACTTTTCTGTATTTGAAAATGTTGGTAACCACCACCAAAGTGAAATAAGGTGTCACCACTCAAGGGTCCAGCCCCACCGGCTCCCTCTAGTGGCTGCTCTTGTGGAGTTGCGTGCAAATGGACTGTCCTGGGAGGCTTGAGCGTCCCCAGCCTCACCCCTTCAACTGCCAATCGCTGCTGTCACACACTCACAAGGAGCCTCTCCAACTGTTCTGTTCATCCATATGTTGACTTTTCAAACTAGCAACTGAGGCAGACACCATTACTCCCTTTACCGGCCTGAATCTCACAGGTGTGATTCCCAGCTGGGATTCGCTGCTGTAGGACACATGTCGGACAGGGCTGGGGGGCTCTGTCTGTCTTGACTGAGGTGGGCAGGAAGGCTTTCAGGGATGGCCAGTAACTTCAACTTAAAAACAACACAACACTGAGACTGCAGGTGTTCCCTTTCCTTGGGGAGAATAGGTACATGCAGGGTGGCAGGGAAGGTGGAAAACATCAGACATTCTCTTAACTGACCTCCTCTGACCCACCCCCACCCCCGCCAGGTCACCCCTGACACTCCATTTCCTCCTGCTGCCCACAGCCAGGGCACCCAGAAAGCTCCTGGCTGGTAGATCCTTTCCTATTTCTTTCCCAAAACTCCTGCTCTCCCCAGCTGAGTGGTCTGCTTACCAAGGGTCTCTCTGTTTGATCCAAAACTTGTTTGTGCCAGTTCTTATCGCTGTGATTCAAGGACACACGGCCCAGTAAACCTAAGTGCAGTGCTCCTATCAGACAGCCCACACACATCTCACACACACATCTTACACACACCTCACACACACACCTCATACACACCTCACACACACCTCATACACACCTCACACATACCTCACACCTCACACGTACCTCTCATGCACACACATCTCACACACACATCTCACACACATCTCACACACCTCACACACACACCTCACACACACCTCACACCCATCTCACACACACATCTTACACACACCTCACACACACACCTCATACACACCTCACACATACCTCTCACACACACACCTCACACACCTCACACACACCTCACACACATCTCACACACATCTCACACACACACATCTCACATGCATACATCACACACATCTCATATACACACATCTCACACACATCTCACACACATCTCACACACACATCTCACACACATCTCACACACATCTCACACACATCTCACACACACCTCACACACACATCTCACATGCATACATCACACACATCTCACACACACACATCTCACACATCTCACACACATACATCTCACACAGACACACCTTGGACATATGTTGAAAGTTTCACAGTTAAATGAGCTTTTTCGTGTCTTCACATAAAATATGTAAGATGTTGAAGATTTCTTTTATTGAGATGATTCTCAACTTTTACCAATTATGTGAGTGAGCTAATCAACTCCATCCCGACAGTGTCAGACAAGAGGTTTTTCTCCACCCTACGATTCTCTGTCTAGATCTGAGTGAAAATAATTCAAAATCAGATCATTAAAAAAAATTTTTTCCACTGAGCGTGGTGAGGGAATATATGGATTTCCCCCTGCTGACTTATCTTCTGGCATCTTATTTACATCACTGTTAAGATCCACTCGCATTTTCTGAGTGTGCACGAATAATTGGGGACACTTCCCCCACCCATCCCCCACCCCCCACTTCAGCCCGGAGTGTGGGGAGGCCACCTGGCCGTCCTCTTCGCTGTGGGTGATCCACCCCGTGGAGAACCCACATGCCTATTGCCAAGGTCTAACCTGTGGGGAGGCTCTTCTGAAACATTGCAGGTGCCTCGACGTCAGATGAGGGGTTTGGGCGCTGCCTTCCCTGGGGAAAGCCAAGAGCAGGCGTGCTTGGGTTCAGAAGGGTCCAGAACCAAAGACCCGGGCTCCCCAAAGCAGAGAGTTGGGGGGCGTCTGGAAGAAGCTGCTGGGGACTGGCAGCCTCCCAGGTGATGGCACCAAGGGGTGGGGCAATGGCAATCTACCTCCGCCCCAGCTACCTTTCTTGGGGAGCAGCTCAGATGCAATGCCAAGGTAAGATAAAGGTCAGACACAGGCAGGTGTGGACGTAGTCCTTGGACCTGTCCCATCATAGCCCAGGACTCAAGGACTCGGGGACGGAGACCGCATACAGGAACATTCTCGCTACCTGTGGGGATCTGGGTGCCGTTTAAGGAGGAAGGAGCCCAGCCCTCTCTGAGCCTCAGTTTTCTCCTTCACTGGCCAGCAGAGTGGACCTGTGACCTCTGTGGCCCCTTCCAGCTCTGCTGACTCACGAGGCTGTGACCCACCTGCAGTGGTGGGACCAGCCAGTCACCAGCAGAGAATGGACACCCCCCAACAGGTCCTCATTGTTACCCAGGGGGATGGGGTGAACGGGACAACTCCGAAGCTGGGATGAGGACCCAGGTCTTGGCAAAAAGTCAGGGCAACTCTGCCCCTTCCAGGCAGAAGCAGAGACAGGATGGGCTGTGGACTGTCTGCCAAGGCCGAGTCTCTGCAAGGCTGGGAGGGGCTGCTGCAGCGACTGGTGACTGGCTCGGGTAGGGCGGGGACCCTGCTGCAGCTCCAAGCGCTGGTCTGGGCCCATGCCCAGTGGGAGAGGGAGAGGGTGGGAGGGGGGCGGGGTGGGGTAGGGAGGGGCTGCCTCTGGCCCCCTGGCCAGGAGCTGGTGGGGAGGTTCCAAGACCTGGGTGGTCACAGGTCTTCCATGCCCTCCCACAGGTGGCTCTGCTCCCGAGCCGGGCAGGGGCAGACGGGTCAGTCCTCTTTGGGCGCCCGGAACTCGGGCATGCTCCAAGTCCGGGGCGGTGGCCGCGCGTCCCGCTCCACGTCCTCAGAGATGGTGCGGATGTCGCTGGCGAAGGGGGAGATGCGCGCACGGGTCCTGCCGCGGGGCCGCAGGCTCCACTGCCGAGTCAGCTTGTGGGCCTCCTCCTCCTGCTTCATCCTGTCCAGCACCTCCTGCAGCACGGAGTGGAACAGCCGGGACACCTCCTGCACCTCGGGCTCCTGCTCGGCCATCAGCTGCCTGAACCTGCGCGGGTGGGTGGTCACGTGGCTGTGGCACGTGGCCCCAGGGGCTTCCCTGTGCGCCCCTGAGGTCCAGTCCCAAGTCCTCCAGTTCCCCACTTCTCCTGAAACGAATCAGGAGCCATCCTGCCTCCTCACTGCTTCAGCCCACCCTGAGTTCAAATCCCAGCTCTGCCAGTCTGGCCTCCATGAGCCTCAGCTTCCTCATCTGTACACTGGGGCATAGCCACCTCTTTGCGAGGTTTAAATCGCTGACACATGAAAAACTCCTGGTTCTCACCTCGGGGTACTGCATCAGTGTAGTAGGGGGAGCCCGCTGACCTCTCCTCCCAGGGGTGTGAGGTTTCAGGCTCACTCTCGGCCTCCAGGCTCGCCCACTGGCCAGAGCCGTCTCTCTGATTAGGTCACCGCCCTGAGACTTCCCTTCCACAGCTCCCAGAGCTGTTTGGCCATGCACACCAGGTCCCCCGCTGTCCCCTGTCTGGGCTCCAGCCAGGAAGAATCACGTGTATCCCCCAGCCCCAGGTTCTCTGGCTCCCTGCGGTTTCCCACGTGGTTTCCTCTGCCTAAAAGGTCTTTCCCTTTCCCGGTGCTCAAGAGCGAATGGTAGTTGCCACGCCCCTCTACTGCCGGGCCCTTCCACCACGCTGAGAGTCGGCTCCACTCCAGATTCTCAGCAGCGACAGGAGGCCCGAAATGTGACCGGACAATCATTACCATATGTACGTCCCCAGCTTCCCGTCACTTATGAGGTGTGGTCTGCCGTGACTCAACCCCCCACCCCTGTCCGGGGTGGAACTAGATACATGGGGTGGGGTAGGGGGAATTCCATGGTGCAGAGTGAGAACAGTAGGAAAGGGGAGGGTTCCCAGCCCAGAGGAAGAAGCAGGAGGGAGCTTAGGAAGACGGCAGAGTCCGAAAGTGTGTAGACAGACTGGAGGGGCGTTTTTAAGGAACTTTCCCAAGAAAAGGGGTACAGCAGACACATACGTTGGTTAAAGACGGGTGAGAGGTTTGGAGGACTAAGGGGATTTTAAGATGTTTTATCGTGGATCTGCCTTTCTTCACACATGTCTGGGAAACACAAGTGAAGAACCTGCGTTACTTGTGAAGCAGTTTCGGTTGCTGGGCTTGGCTTCTCCGACCTTGAATCCATCTGACACGGGACTGTGCCGGCCGTGGGTCTATCAAGTTACATTTATGTTCAGGGACACCACTGTAGCCCAGCTCTTAATGTTCAGTGCCCGAGGGCTCTGCACCATTCTCACACACACACACACACACACACACACACACGCACGCACACACATAGTTAGGAGAGCTAGGGTGAAACAGGATCACTGTTACTTGGGAAACCTCCCTGAGAAGGTAACAGGGAAGACGAACCAGCAGGGAGGGCGCCGGCTTGCAAAAGCCCAGGATGACTGCAGTCAGGACTGGGGGAGCGGAAGGGTCAAAGGCCTGGGGTTCTGGCCTATCAGAGCTCACGAGCCTGGATCCAGGAGCCACGCCTGTCTGATGTCCCACCCTCTTTCAGAATCCTCCTGCCTGGCCCCTTCTAACATGACCGGGTCACCCAGGCCCCCTGGCTCCAGTTGTGGTACCTCAGGTCCTGCCCCCGCACCCACCCTCCCTGGAGCCTGCGGCCCCACAGCTGGCCCCATGCCAGGGGCCAGGGGTTACCTGTTACCTGAGGATGGCGGGCCCACAGTAGGACGGGTGGATCTTGGCGCAGACATCCTCCAGCTGCAGCCGCTCACCGGGGCTGAGGTCATAGGTGGCCCGGGGCGTGCTGGCCAGCCAGCTGTAGTCCACTCCGGTGCAGATCTTCCTGACCGCGTTGCTGCGCTCCCGCTGCTGCCTCTCAGCCTCCCGCATCTGTCCCAGCAGCTCCATCATGAGCGTGTCCAGCACCATCTCGGCTGGACTCCGGGACGAAGGCCGGGGCAGGGCCTCACTCCACCGGAGCCACGGAATGAGGGACATGGCCCCCCAGGCCCCGCTGAGACCGGGCAGAGTGCGGTGTCTTCTCTGGGCCCCTCTGTCGGTCACGGTGGGGGAACAAGGAGCAGGGAGGAGAGCTGGGCCCCAAGTAGGAAGACCTGCTCGTTCTCACAGCTGTCGCTTAACCTCCCTGAGCAGTCATTTCTGATTCTGTAAGACAGGATAGGGCTGTTGTGAGGAACAGCTGTGAACAAACTGGGGATGTTCTAAGCACCACATAAAACTGAGACAGACTCATGGTTGTAACAATCCCCAGAACATCCAGATGCCTAAGCCCAGAGAAACTGCCTCCCAAACCGCTGCAAACTCCAGATAAGGAAGGAAACCTACTGCGTGTGGCTGAGCACAATCTTACCCCTGTGATTTAAGGGGGAGAGAGGATACACATTCACAGCTCAGATGCCTACATCCTATGCCAACCTAGCAGGAAAACACCCTAAGTTTCTCAATTTCCTGGCCTGTTGCTGAAGGAAGCTTAGGATTACACAGGGTCGACATCATCCTGAAAAAGGCGCAACTTGCCCTCCATTTACTGATTCCCTTACTCACCACTCATTCACTCAGAAGCCCTGACCAAGCACGGGGTGGACCTCTGCGGAGGAACACACGTGGGAAGGCATGTCGGGGGCCCAGCTCACCCATGGCACCGGATGTGAGGAGTAAAAACCATAACACCCGTGAAAAGGAGCAAATGGGACTGGCGAAGCGCACAGTCGGTACTGATGGGGTGAGGGGAGGAATGGCTAGACGGTGAAAGGGACCACGGAAGGCCTTGTGGGAGAGAGCAGGCTGAGGGGTGAGTGCAGGCACCAGACACGTGGACGGATGGAGAGGGTGTCCCAGGTGGAGGACCCACACCTGGGGTGCAGGGAGTGTCAGGGGTGAGAACAGGGACCTAACTCGTCGGCATATTCCCGCAGAGTCCTGCTCAACACAGGCTTGGTGACCGACTAACTGACTGACTGATTGACTGACCAACTGGGTGAATGAATGGAGGATGGATGAGCGGACGAATGAGCGGATGAGCAGACGAATGGGCAGATGAGCAGCCGTCTCAGGTGCACCCCGCTGCCTGTCAGGGTTTGTGCCTCTGACAACAGTGAAGGCCAGTGCCATTCCTGGTCTCAAACCTGAAGTGGATCTTCCAGATGGCCCACCTCCCCTTTCTACTCCTCTCCCCTCCAGGGGGCTCCCCCTTCACGAACCATTGGTCGTCTTCCTGCCTAGACTCTCCCGACCAGAGGGAAGAGACCCACTGAGCGCGGTCTCCACGGCGTGGTCGTGAGGCCTGTGTCACCTCCCGAGGACACGCACGTCTCCGGGCCGCCCTCCCACCACCCTGCAGCAGCAATGCACAGCCCGGAGAAACGGCCTGTTAGGGCTGGAGAACCAGGCACCGATGGGGAATCATTAGGGGTGGGAGCAGCCCTCCGGAGGGGCGCAAACCAAACTTTTGACTTAACCCACAGAGACCTGAGCAACCAATTGCCATAGCAATCATCAAAACTAGGAACTCGAAAAGCTCTGATCCTCCACTCGGCCCGAGCCTGTCACCGATGGGGCCTCAGATTCCATCCTGAGTCCTTCTGGGAGGTTGGGAGGGAAACACCCACCCTCGAGCCCTGCTCCTGGTGTGGGGAGCAGTTAGGGCCTTTTCTTCACAGTTCTTATCCACTCCCTGTGTTCAGAGGGCTGAGGCTGGGCCGCAGCATGGGGAAGCAGGGTGTGGAGGCGGGCTGGCTTCTGTCCTGAGCACCGGGAGCCTGGGCCCAAGGCCAAGGGCTTCGATCACTGCAGGCAAAGGGAGTCCTTGCAACTGAAGGTACTGTGTTTCCTGGGGTGCTTGTGTTTTTAAAAGTACCTGGGTCAGGTGCACACCTAACACCAAAAGGTCTCATTCCGGGTGTTCATTCGACCCCACTGCAGGGTACTCCAGATACGCATGGGTCAGTAGTGCCCGCAGGGGCGAGCGGCCTCGCTGGCCCAGTTCACAGCTTCAGGCCTTCGTCAGTGTCCCCCGTCTGCCTAGACACAGATTTCCAGGGTCCACTCCCCTCTGAAGCCCTTCCTGACCCTCCCGCCCCACAGGGAGCTGTAACAACTCCCCAGCCCATCCCCGGACTTCGCTGTGCACGGACGTTTCACAGCACCAGGAGCACTTCGTGGAGCGCGACTGTCCCCCTCCCTCGGACCTGCGTGTCACCTGTGTGCAGGGATGGCGCCTTACGCCCTCCACACCCCTGGAGCCGGGTGCAGAGTGCAGCGGTGCTCAGTGAATGTTGGACAAGTGAACGGGTGACTGACGCATGAAGGAAGAAATGAACAACCAAATAGAGGAATGAACAAATGATGCTTAAGTCACTATGGATGCTTCAAGGAGCCAGTCCCACAGATCTGACCTACCCTGAACAGGAGGGCATGTGTCAGAGGTCACGGGAAAGACACTCTCTCCTCTGGACTCCCGGCCTTGCACTCTCCCATCACTCAGATAACCCCCAAGAGCCCGTGGAGACCTGAGGACGGCCCGCGCAGCCCCTCAGTCTGTGTGCCCATAACGGAGCTGAGTTTCTGCTGTTCTGTCCTCACGGTGGACTTTAGGGGAGTGGTAGTTGTAACTTTTCTGAAAATATCACCTGAGGATGAGACACGGGTCTGAGAGTTGTGGGGCCGAAGGACACGTGGGATCCCTCTGCCGGAATGATACCCATCTCTCCTCCCCACTGAGCCTCACCCTGAGACGTCTCCAAAGCTGGCCTCGACCCTGGTTCCCAGGAATGCTTCTTTGACTGACTTCTCTCAACCTCAACACCCCAGGGTGCCCCTCAGTACCACGAGGACACACTGCCACTGGCGCTCGAATGTGGGCCCCCAACCTTGAGCTCACCAGCCTGGAAGACGACTGAAGGAGGAGGAGACTGGTGAGGTCTAAGGCAGAAAGATGCGATGCTCTTGAACGGCCTCTTACTACAGCCGGCGGTGCACCAGGAGGCAGGAGCACTGCAGCGGCCTGTCACACCTTCCTCGTCAGCCCAAGTCCTGACCCGCGAGGCCTCCCGACGCAACCGCACAGACCACTCTTCCCTGTGGAGCTGCTGTCTCCATGGTTGCCGCCAGACCACCCTCCTTGGCCTCCCCCCTCCCTGGGTCTGCCCCCTGCCCTGGTGTAACCCCTGGAGACCCTCTCCACACCGGTGGGGGCACCCTTTCCCTGGCCTTCTGTGAGCTGCGGCTGTTCCCTGGGGCCCTTTCTAAAGCGGTCCCCTCATCTTCATCATTCTCCTCCTTCCACACATTTCCAATTACAACTCAGTGTCCATAGTTACCAAGTCAAAATCCTTAATCCCGTTGTCTCCTGAGCTCCAGATCAAGGTTCCACTTGCACCTTCACCTAAACTCCCCATCTCTCTCCCCACTGCCTGCAGGTTCTCCTGGGTCCTGCCTCGGTGGTGGGCATAACCTACTTGCCCAAACTGATGCACCCACCTGGTCTTGTCCCTATGCCTCACTGGCAAATTCTATGTCCAATCCCTGTTTTTTCTCCTAAATTTAAATATTATGAGCCTCCCAAATCTGTTCACTGTCTTCTTTCCTTCTGTTAGCTCAAGTCTTGACCATCTGCCACAAATATTATAGCTGCTGCCTCCTAACTGGCAGCTCAAAACTAATCCTCTCATCTGATCTTTTTTTAAAAAAATGTATTGTTGTTCTATTACAGTTGTCCCAATTTTCCCCCGTTGCTCTCTCCAGCCCCACCCACCCCCCATCCCACAGTCAGCCCCCACCCTGTTGTCCACGTCCACCATTTATTCTTGTTCTTTACCTAGGCCCTTCCCCTTCTTTCCTCCCTTATCCCCTCCCCCTCCCCCGGCCCTCTCTGGTCGCTGTCAGTCTGGTCCTTGTTTCCATGCTTCTGGTTCTATTTTGCTCATTTGTTTGTTTTGTTCATTGGGTTCCTGTCACACGTCATCCGATCTTTATTTTTTATTGTGATAAAAAATAACATAAAACTTCCCACCCTAAGCATTTTGAGCGTGCGGCACAGCAGTGCTAACTGTGCATGTGCTGTTGCGCGACCGACCGCGGGGCTTTTCCATCTCGGAACTGAAGCCCATTCCGCAGTAACTGCAGCTCCGTTTTCCTAAGTGTAATCTTGTTAGAGCAAATATATATGGGAAAAACATTTCACTGGTTTCAAAATACAAATAAAAGTGTGCAAAAACAAATTTAATAATAATTCCACATCAGAGTTACGAAACTCCTTTCCAATGTTTCATTTACAAATAATTCTGGTGTTGATTCATTTTATGATGCTCCATGTGGCATGGAGTGGGGCCCCCACACATCTGAGGCCTGCAAAGGTCTTTACGTCATCCCGTACTTAAGCCCTGAGATGCTTAAAGACATGGTTTCCGATTGTCCTCAAGACCCCTTCAAGTGGATTCAGGGCCACTCATCACGTGGCTCTTGTTGTCTTCAGTGGCGAAGCTGACGCCCTAAACAAGAGCCACCGACCACCCACTTTGTCCCAGTCCTCCCCCAGCAGCTCCCCCCCAGCTCCCATTCCCAACTCCCTCCCTCAATGAGCTCCGCCTCCTCTTGCCTGGAGGCCTCTGCATGTCCCTAGAACACTTGCCGTCTCCTCAGTGCCTGAATAAGTCCTACCTCAGCCTCTAACTCATACTCCCGGTCCCCTCAGCAGACTTCCTGCCGCTCCCTGATCAGCTTCCGGTGCCTGTCTCTCTGCTCCCAGGCTGCTCACCCCATCAGAGCACAGTCCCAGCAAACTGGGGGCGCCTATGCGCCCTCTTCCCTCTCCCGACGGAGTGAGAAACTAGGGCTGTGCATCACCCTACCCACGACCCAGCGCCCAGCGGAGGGTCTGGCCCCCAGCGTGTGTGTGTGTGTGTGTGTGTGTGTGTGTGTGTGTGTGTGTGTGGCTGGGCTAGAAGTCTACCTAGAGAGTCCCTTCACACTCCAACATTTCTCCCCCTTACTAGGATCCATATTTAGGTCAAGCATTTTGAGGGACACATATTTAGGTCAGGCATGATCCCCTTAAAAGGCCTTTTTTTCTCCTTAGTCTAGATTTGCATTTGAACTGAAAGGAGGCAGCGAGGGGGTGACTTGGCAACAGAGGATCCCCCTGGGGCTGGGAGAAACATAGAGGGAAGGGGCGGTGGGAACCCCTGGAGACGCCTTTGTCTCCGTGACGAGCTGGCCTCCACAGTCACACCAGGGCCACCTCGGGCCTGGCCAGGGCCCAGTTGCTCCGGGTCACACCTTGCCTCTAAATATTTGTAACTTTAAGATTAAGCTAAAAACTATTAAGTAAAATATGTATGACTCCTTCCTTGTTAATGTACTTTTATAACAACGTGGAGGGTCAGGTTAAGACTGAGGAGCCTTGGCCTCCTTAGAGTTCTTCACTGGCACGTGGCAGCAAGAGTTGACCCAGCTCCCGGCCCTCAGCCTGTCCCCCCTTCTCGTCCCGACCTCGAGGGGCCTTGGAAACCTGCGAGGGACCCCAAAGCCTTCACGGCCAAGGCGCCTCCACAGTCCCACCAACTGCTGCCTCTTCGGTCCTCTCAGGCTTGTCCACACCCTCCACCCTCGGGAGGCTGGGCCCCAGGGGGACACCTGCTCGGCCTCTGGGTGCGGGCAGGTGGTTGTCTGGAAAGGGATTTCCAGGTCTCGGTACCTGAGGCCTGATCTGGAGGGGAAGTCACCTCCGGACGGACGCGCGTCCTTAGTCTCCCAGAACCCTCACCGCAGGTGACTGCCAGCGAGAAGAAAGCCTGAGTGTAGGAGTGGGGCCTCTCCCCGGGGTTGGAGGCCTGTGCGCTGACCTGGGCTGGCCTCTCGAGGCAGGTGCTCGATCACGCCAGATGGCAGGGACTGGGTGGGCAGATTGCGTGAGTCCTGGGTTCAGTGGGCTCTCAGTCTCTCAGGCCAGATGGTGGGGTCTCACGGGGCCGGGGGCATGTTCTGGGTTTTCTCTCTCCAGCCCTCCACTCTCTCCGCCTCCAACCCTGGCTGGCGCTGGAGGCTTCCACAGAGACAGGATTTGTGCCGACTATTTCTGTCTCTCGGGCCAGCTGTTCTCCCAGGAGGCTCTTCAGCAGGTCTGATTAAGTTCTTATGGGCAAAGGAGGGAGGGGGCCATGCAGGGAGGGAGAGCAGGGCAGAGAGGTGGGGCGAGCCAGACCACAGCGGTGGCTGGTTTATCCCAGGGCCTCCCCTGGGCCTGACCCACAGCTGAGACCCACGTGAGCCTGACTGTGACTGAGTGTCTGGGGAGGAGGGTGACAGCAGGCATGGTCTGATAAAGACACCCAGAAGCTCCATCAGAACAGTGTGGGCTTCGCTGCGTGTTCTGCACCGTTGGGATTCTGCCCTCCCCAGTTCTGGGTTAACCCGCGGGGCAGAGGGTAACTCGCCAGTGTGAGCTTCGAGGCCCCTCCCACTCCTGCTCGTGCTGGCCACGGGAGCACGCACCATGGTGACCCTGGAACCTTCCCATGCCGAATTCCTGCTTCCCTTCAGTCAAGGACACCCACAACCTGCCTCTGAGGTGTGAACATGGATTGAATGAATCCTTGTTTAAGAAACAAGTAGGACATTCGGGGAAACGGGAAGATGAGCTGGAGGTGAGGCAATGAGCGCCGATTTCCTCGGGCACACAAACGGCACTGTGGTCACGGGGGTCTGTCAGAGAGCCCCCCGCCCCGCCCCAGGAGGCGACACTGACGTGTCCTCGCCAGAGGGTCCTGACGTCTGTAATGCCCATGCTCAAGTCACGTGCACACACACACCGCACACACACACACAGGGCAAATGAGGCAAAAGGCTAACAATCGAGCAATCTAGGGGTAACTTACGGGGGTTCACTGTACTATTCTTCCAACTTTTCTGCGTGTTTGAGCATATTTATAATTTAAGCATTGGAAGAAGTCTAGCTCAGAACTCACTCTCTACCAGGTTCCTTCTCAATTCACTCCATCCGGCGGGCCTGGCTTGCTCCTCAGTGCCCTGCCCTCGGTTTCTGTCACGCTGGTTCAGGGCACAGTGGCCTTTCTCCCAGCGGGTGCGGGTGTTGAGGGAGCGCACAGCGGTGTGTGCGGGGCGGGTCCGAGGTTCGGGGCGGGTCCACGGTCTAGGGCCTGAAGCCCAGGCCTGAGATCCGACCCTCACGACTCTGCAGACACAGGTGGGAGAGCGCAGCGTGCCTGTCACTGTGCGCAGTGATGTCACTGTGAGCGGTGATGTCACTGTGAGCGGTGATGTCACTGTGAGCGGTGATGTCACTGTGAGCGGTGATGTCACTGTGCGCCTGTCACCGAGCTCCTCGCTGGGCTCCCTCCAGGAGCCTACATTCAAGGGAGCGGTGGGAACAAGCAGACAGGCGACCTCCACCCACTGAGGGGCGTGCCCAGGGGCGCAGTCCCCCTGTCTGCAGGGGCACAGCTGTGAAGTGGCTACAACAACAGTGAAGGCGTGCCCACTCTGCCCTTGGTAGATCTCCGGCTCAGACGAGGCACCCGGTATTGGGGTGGGGGGTAGGGGGCCGGTGCAGGCTTCAGCGGGGAAAACCTAAGTTCAATTCCCACAGCCTTCCCCTCCCTGCCATGCCCTGCCTGTATCCAAGTCCCCTTCATCGCTCCAAGCCTCAGTTTCCCCGTCTGTAAGATGAGGGATAGGGTACCTACTTCTCGTTACTGAGAAGATCAAATAAAGTAGCGTTTGTGTAGGTGCCAAATGAACTAACAAGGCCTGTGACTGTCCGTCCCCTCAGTGCAGGGATTCTTGCCCTGGGGCCCGCAGGGATAAGTCGGATGTTTACGATCTCAGATCGGGGAAAAACCCCTTTATTTCCACTGACTTTGACTGAAATGCAGCGTTTCCGCCAGTTATAAGTGTGGTCCACACACCACAACAGTATCATCACTCCCCTGCCTTTATCTCCAGCAAGATCACAGATATTTTTATGACACTTTAATACCTTTCTTGAAATATCATGCAAGCTCATCATTACTGTGAAATCATGGTATGTGTTGGGTTAGACCTGAGACTCGATTTTGTTTGACGTGTTGATGGAGAGGCACATGTATAACTACATCTCAAGTTGTTTTTATAAAACAGGTCGATAGTTGCATTTCAATACACCTGGTTTCTTTTGTCATCCTATAAGGTTTACACATTGAGAAACATTTTGCTGAGAATGAGTCCACAGGCTTTCAAAAAGTAAGGGACCCCCTGGCTTGGCACGAGCTGGACCCCAACCCTGTGCCCAGCCTTGTCCCAGCTCTGGCTTCTGGGGAGCTGAGCATCCCCTCTGCTCCTTGTGAAGGGGAGACTCGGGGCGAAGCCTCAGTTTACCCAGAGCCAGGGGGAGAGCCCTCGCTTGTCCAGTCTCTGCCCTGTGGCATCTCTAACCCTGTCTCTTCCCTTCTCTGCTCTTCCCCCTCCTCCCTCCACCCCTCCCCCCATCACCCCCTCCACCCTCACGCTCTCCCAGCCTTCCCTTCAGCCTATTTTTGAACATCCCTGAGGACAACGTCTTTTCTGTGGCTCCCTGGGAGAAGCCACCGCCAGCTGCGGCTTGTTAGATACTTGGAGACGCTAGAGAAGCCAGCTCCGTGGCTCAAGGGCAAGAACAGCCTGGTCCCAGATGGTTCGCAGTGGGAAGGGAACCAGGGACAGGGACCAAGCTGTCTCAGCAGTGGGTACAGTGTGGGCTGGACCCTCAGAGTTGGAAGCAAGGCCCCACTGCCTTGCAGGAGGAGCACTCCGGTGCGTACTGCGGCCACCAGCCCCGCCAGCTGAGGGAGACAGTGCAGTCCGGGCCAGGATACTGCTCTCTTGGTACAAAGCGGGTCCCACCCAGGGTCCGCTCTGAGCTGGGCTCTAACAGCCCAGCTGGGGAGTTGCAGGCCAGGGCGAGGGGCTGCCTGCACCGAACCCAGGACCCTGAGCGCCTGCGTCAGGCTGTCCCAGGGAGCCTGCGGCCCCACCAAGCAGGCAGGGTGCTCTGCTGAAGTTGGACCCTGGGTCTGCACAGAGGCCTTGAAGCAGGTGCAGAGAGTAGGGGCTCCCTCTCTGATAGGCCTTCCTCCCAGCCCTGTTTTGGCCAAGGTCCAAGGCCAACCAAGTTCACAGGTGGCAAATTGACCTTATTTTTCTTTGGCATCACAGAAAAGTAACGAAAGTCATTCACCAAGCCAGGGTGACTCAGCCGGACATGTGGGCCTCTTCCCACCTGACCAGCACCTACTCATCTCTCAGGACCCACCTGGAACATCAGCGACTCCCTGCAGCCTGGCGCTCGAGGCCCCCGACTGAGGTAGAACCACCGGCCTGCCGGGGCCTGGCAGTGGGGCCTGTCATCGTGGCATCGGAACAAACACATTTCCCACTTTTTCTGTTGTTTTCCTCTCTCCCCACCCGGCTATGAGCTCTGAGAGGGCGAGCACTGAATTTGTTTAATCTGCTGGCACGAGGTAGGCACTGGATAAGTGGTTCCTAGGTGAATGAGTGAATGAATGAATGGCATTCCTCCTCGTTCTGAGGCAGAGGTGTAACCAGGAGGGGCAAGTGCCCGGGTCCTGCAGAGCACAGTCGGAGGGGGCTGATCCCCAGGATACTCTACCCCAACTCTGCAGCCACAGCTCCCAACTTTCCTCCCAACTCCATCCTCTCCATGGAGCCCGGCCGGCACCGCGCCGTCCAGGCCTGCTGTGCTGGGCGTGTCTCTGGGGATTCGCAGAAAGCTCTGTGGCTGGGCAACTGAGTCCACCCATCACCCGTGTGTCCTGGTCCCAAGACTCCACACCACATGCTTTGTAGGCGCTCAAGTCACAGCTCTCAGGTCGGTGAGAGACTCTCTGATGTGGGTTGACCTCCCTTCCCCTGCTGCATGCTCCGCATAGAAGCGGAAGGGGAGATAGATGCTGGGGCTGGGTGCTCCCGGACAGACACACTGGCTCCAGAGCAGACAAGAGCTGGGGCTCCCCAGGGGTTTATAAAGCAAGGACAGGCCCCAGTCTGAGGATGCGGCGAGCCCACATGCTCTCATGAACCGGCTGAGAGCTGGCAGGGCCTCCCTGGGGCTACCTGGGCCTTGGACTCGGACTGCTCATTGGGCAGGCCCCAGCCTGCCACCCCTCTGGGCTCCAGACTGGCCAGGCTCCTGCTCTAACTTCTAAAAGCCCGGCCTGCTCTCTGGGTGTGGAAGCCACTGTCTCCTGGGGAGCTGACCCTCTTACCTGGCTCTCTGAGGTCGGCCCCTGCTGCAGTAAAAGGTCCAGCAGAGTCCTGCTTTCCGCTGCCCAGTCTGGGAGGAGAGAGTGTCTGGATCTTTTCAGGGACAAGCAGAAAGTTCGGCAGCCAAGGGAGGGCAAGGTAGAGAGACAACTACATCCTAAACGTCTCCCTCCTATCTCTCTCTGGTGGCTGGCTGCGGCCTCCCGCTCTTCCCTTTCTTTCCGTCTCTTGGAGTTTGTGCTGAGAGAAAACAGCTCTGACCAGAGGGGGCATCCAGCCTGGTGTGGTGGAGCAGTGTGCCTGTCTCCCAGCAGGCTGGAACCACAGCTCCTCTGATAACGGGGCGGGGCCAGCTCCTGATCTGCGGTTGCCGTGGAGACCCACCTAAGCCTCTTACACCTCCAGCTGTATTATCTGCAGGGGGAGCTGCTGGACCTGAGGCAGACACCTGAAAAGGCCCAGGTGGTCACAGAGGCCTGTGTCCAGATGGCGATCTCGGCCCCTTCTTCCCTCGGCTGTCCTCAGGGCTGCGCTCAGGGCGGCCCAAACGGGGAGTAAGAGGACGCTCACCACACCCTCTGCAGAGCCCTCAGGGACCTGCTGTGGGCAGGTGTTTCCAGCCGCTGGGTGGATGGTTCCTGGCTGGAGCTCCCCTCCTCCCACCTCCTCCCTCCGCCAGGAGAGAGAGGGGTGATTCTGCAGGCCGAGGGCAATGGCCTGGAAAGATGCGTCTTCACCCTTGCCTCACATATCCTTGTCCTCCTCTTTGCCAACCGAA